CCTTAAGCTTGTAAAACCCCTTGAATGTTCTCAAAGCACAGACAACAGCATCTTCTCTTACACTGAGTGGTGTTTTACAGTGTAAACCACTTACACAGTGACATACTTGATCCACAGGAAGCCCTGGGAGGGACGCAGAGATCATGGGCCCTAGAGCCCAAGTGACCTCAGTTCAAATCTTTTTTACTCTATGCCTCGAGGCTGTGGGGGTGTGGGCCTTGCTTTACAAACTCTTTGAGTGTCTTCCTCTGTAAGATAGAGATAATATACAGTCATGTGACAGTTAACAAGGATTCATTCTGAGAAATGTGTCCTTAGGTGACTTTGTCGTTGTGGGAGCATCATAGTATGTACTTACACAAACCTAGATGGTGTAGCCTACTACACACCTAGGCTACAAATCTGTACAGCATGTTACATTACTGAATATTATAGGGAATTATAATACAATAATATTCATCCATCTATAAATTAACAGAAAAGGTATTGTAATCTTATAAAAATATGATATTATAGTTGTATGGGGCCACCATCATATACGCAGTCAGCCATTAACCAAAACAGTACATGGCATACGACCGTACCTATTTTGAAACGTTGCTATAAGCATTAAATCAAATGACGCTGCCTAGCCCAGTACTCAATTAAGGCTAGCTTCCTCCACCTTGTTTCTCACCCATTCCCATATTCCAAACAAGGACATATCTAAGGTTGCCACACTAGAAGTGGTACCTGGCACATAGTGGGTCTGAAATAAATGTTAGTTTCCATTTCTCTCCCTTTAAAGCCCTAAACTAAAGCTATTTCTTCCCCGGGTTTTTCCTCACCCAACCCCTGGTATTTCCTGGAAAACCCCTTTGACAGTATCACAGAGTCATGGAGCCTCTCCTTTGAGAAACACCCATATATATAAAGAGGCACCACACATACCCTCTCACCCACACAATTTTGCTTATGATTTTAAGAAGTTCAGATTCCCTGAAGCTTAATTTAGAAGTCTGTGATAGCACCCATATGACACAAACTATCTTCTGCCACAAAGTATAGTTCTTCAGTTATCTGGTTTCCCTTCGTAGATTAAAAATTACAAGGAGTTGGAGACCAACTTTTCTTCTTGCCCACGTCTGTGCTCTATATGGTGACTGGAGAGTGACAGATACACGGTGAATGTTAATTTAATGACTGGGTGGACAAATGGATGGATGAATGGAAAGGTGGGTGGGGAGATGGATGGGTGAGTAGGTAGTTGAAGGGATGGTAGTAGATGGGGGGTAATTTGGGTGGAGGAATGGATGGGTGTATGGATAAGGTAGGTGGATAAGATGGTCAAGGGGTTGCCAAGCTCAGAGAAAGGCCCAGGCAAGCAGTGAGAAGTTAAATTAGCGGTCATGGGGGATCTTAAAACCCCTGGCAGAAGACGTCTGACATAATCAGTAGAAAGTATGAGATCTGGAGGGATCAAAGCAGAGAATGAGTGGAGAAAACAGTGTCTTAGCAGGTTGGGGCTGAAGCGGGGCTCTCAGCTGGGTGGAACAGGAAGAATCTGAGTCAGAAAGCCAAATAGGAAACAGGGCAGGAGATGGGGGAACTCCTGGCCAAGAAAGCAGTGCTGCTGCTGAATGGAAAGCAGAAGCTGCAAGACCTGTTTCTAAGGAAAAGTGGAGAGCAGACAGGATCCAGGGGGTAGGGGAGAGGACTGAATAGAGACACAGGAATTCATGGCATGTGGGATTCTCTGAGTCATAAGTACAACAATCATTTGTTGAGTTCTTCCTGTGTGTCAGGGATTGTTTTAGGCACTGAGGATAAGTCCTTGGTGTCAAATAAGAAAGACAGAACATTAATAAAAGTTGAGATTTATGGAGCATCTGCTATGCACCAGGCACTAAGGTAATGTGTCTCTTCTCAGCAACAATTGTATGAAGGAGGTGTCATTATCACCATTGCTTAACAGGCGAGGACACTGAGGCACAGAGATAGTAAGTCACTTCCCCAACACAACTAGTTAAGTATCAGAGCCAGGATTTGAACCCAGTTTCCAGGACCTATGTGCTTCTTTGCTGTGCTATGCTGCTGCCATCAAATGAATGATTAAACAATAGTTATACTGCAGGGTGATGAGAAATATGATGGCAGTCTTTACTGGTTACTGTGGGACACAGAGCGGAGGTGGTAATTGACTTTGGTTGGATGAGTCTAAATGGGTTTTAGGGAGAAGATTCTTCGAAGCTGGATTTTGGAAAATGAGTTTCTTAGGCATCCCGTAAATAAGGAGTGAGGTTTAAAGATGAGGAAATGAGTAGAAGGGCATTCCAAGCAGAGGAACCAGCCTGTGCAAAGTGCACAAGCACCGAAGCATGAAACAGCAGGGACGTAGACAGGAAACCATTAGTAGTTCTATGAGGCTGCTTTGCCAGGCTAAGAGCTGCCAGGAGGAAAGACATGCTGCCTACTGGGAATAATGCTTAGAAATGTTCCCCTCAGCCTTTATAGAAATGTATGGTGTTCAAGAGGATTTTCATCTCTTTTATCATCCTGAATAACCCCAACAAGTAGGAAAGTCAGGTATTAAGACTATTCCTATTTTGGGACTAAGAAAACAGCTTGGAGAAGTTAAATGACTGGTCTAAGATTACACCTTCAGTATGTAGCAGAGGCCAAACTAGATCCTCTGACTCCTAACTTTAATCATCTGGGCACACTGCACACAAAACATTTTGATGAGCACTGCTGGTACAAAGAAAAATAAGATTGAGTTCTCAGTTTTCTGCTACAAAGGCAATGATGAGGCAGCTCAGATCTGCAAAGGACTGGATATGAAGCCTTGACAGAACAATAACTACCAAGATTTATCAACATGGGCACAGTACTTCACAGCTTGCAAAGCACATTTATATACAGAATGTTAGTTGACAATTATGAAGACACTGTGGCAGATTGTATAAATAATGTTCTTGTTCCCATTTTTCAGATGAACTAGATATATTAATTGATTTGTTTAAGTCACACAGCCTGTAGGTGATAGATTTAAAACTCAAATTCGGCTCGGTGCCAACTGATAGCATTTCAGATACAAGGTCAAGATCAGCCACAGGACCCTCTCTCTAAAAATACAAAAATGCCGCCGTCGGGGTTAGATAAACTGACAAAATGCGACAATTCGAAGATACTCCAGCCTGGGACAGGTGGATGCCATCAAATCGTTTTGATGAATATATACCCATGGGGGCTATTCATATAATGGCCAATATTTATTGTGTGATTACTATGTGCTAGTTGCTATGTTAAATGCTTACATGCAACATTCCATTTTCCTTCTACAAATATGCCATGAGGTAGATACCTGTTTTAAAATAAAGAAAACTGAAACTCAAAACAGTTAAGGTTCCATAGCTAGGATGACCAGCCAACCACCACTCAAAGCCCCCTGCTTCTAGCACTATGCAATGTTGTCCCTATTGTCTTTAGACCCTAGTCTAGTCCACCTGAACTAAGGAAAAAAATACTTTGAGCTTTTCACAAAACTTGTGTAAAAGCAGGTACATTTGAGGATACAAAGTTTAACTATTTTATTCACAACTCTGTATTCCCTTGGGGAATGGTCCCCTGAAAAAGGCCAGGCCTTCCATGTTACCTGTGAGGAGGGCCCAGAGAGGTCATGGGACCTAATCAATAACACACAGCAGCACCAAATTCCTAGTTCAGTGCTCAAAAGTTTAAACCCCAAAAGCCATTCAACTCCTCCTCCCTCCCCTCTGTCTTCTTTATGACCTGGCCTTGTAGAGTAATGGAAACCAGCACGGGAGGCAGTCAAGCTGGGATCTGAATCCTGGACATAGAATTTGCCAGTTGTAAGTGCTTGGACAAGTTTCTTTGTGTCTCAGCCTCAGTTTTTGTAGCTATAAAACTGTTATATAACATTGTTATATACTATTACTCAACTTGAGGGGGGTATCGAAAGGGTTAAATAAGGTCATGTCCATCATTCTATGTCATTACTTTGTTTTAATTTCTTCCTAGCATTGAATATTACTTATGATTATTTTATTTGTTCATGAGTTTATTGACTTTCTTCCTTTGTCTTTCCATAGCTGTTCTCCAAGTGTCTAGAATTGCACTGATTAGCACAGTGGCCACTAGCCAATGTGGCTATTAAGCATTTGAGATGTTCCTAGCAGGAACTGAGATGAGCTGGAAGTGTAACATACACACAACATTTCAAAGACACAGCATAAAAAAAAGTAAATGTAAAATATTTTATCGATAATTTTTATATTGATCACATATCGAAATAATATTTAGGGCATATTGGGTTAAATTATTAAAATTACTTTTACTTATGTCTTTTTACTTTCTTTAATGTGGCTGTTAGAAAATTTAAAATGTCGTATGTAGTTAATACTATTTCTATGGAGCAGTGCTCGTCAAGAATAATGCTGGCACATACTAGGTGCTCAATAAATAGTTGAATGACTGAATATTTTTCCTTGAATGAGTGAGTGGCACAAAAGTGAAAGTATATAAATAATAGTTTCTCTCAAGTAGGTGACCTCCATAGGATAAAGCTGTCTGCTTTAGATTAATAAACTCATTCTGGTCGAGGTGTTAATAGCTGATAACAGCTTAAATTGTTGGCATGAGTCAAGGTAAGATGTACATTTTAATTGCAACTTTCTAGAAGTCAGATAAAAGTAGGCTTCTTAATTTTACTGTGAGGTCTTCCAGAAGAAAGGTTCCTTTAGATCAAATTTAAAAAAAAAAAAAAAAAAAAAAAAAAAAAAAGAAGAAGAAGAAGAAGAGGAGGGAGGGGACAAATGCTGGGAGTGGGGATGGAGCGGAGGATCGAGGGAGATGCGGAGAAACTTCAGCGCGGCAGATGCTTTTGTTTCCCGTTACCTGCTGCGTCTAGTCCCGTCCAGGGCACACAGTGGGCGCTTAGTAACTGTAGAAAGAAATCGAACGAAATCGGAAGTGGGAGAGGCAGAGGCCACAATCAAGACACGGAATAGACAGTCAGTCGAGGCAGCAGAGAGGGTGCCACGCGGCCAGCGGAGGCGCAGGGCAGCTGCGGAGGGATCTTGCCACGGGGCGGAGGGACCGCGCTCCCCACCAGCGCGGCGTGAGGACGCCAGGCCAGGGACCGCCTGCTGCGAGCAGCGGGGCGGGGAGGGGGGGCGCGGGGGGCGGAGGCGGGGTGGGGAACGGACCTGCCCCGGGTCGCAGCGGTTTTTCCCGGGCGGGGCTGCGGCTGCAGGAGAGGCGGGCGTGCCGGCGGAGGGTCAGGGCCTCGACGCCGGGACTTTCCTGGGGTGGGGGTGGAAGCACGTAGGAACCCTGACCTTTCCAACTTCCCAGGTCAGACTTGGGCCGGGACCACACTGCGCAGACTTTGATGTACGGACCCAACCCAGTGCTAGTCCGCCCTCGCGGGGACCTGTCCTCTCGCCTGACCTATTAAGTCCGTCCCTGCCTGCAAGGCTCCAACAAAGTCCCTTCTTTCCCCCAGAGCAGCAGTTCTCAAACTTGAGTCCATCAGCATCACCCAGAGGCTTTATGCAAACACGTTTCTGGCTCCCTCCACGGTTTCTGATTCTGTGGGTTTAGGGTGGTGATGCTGATTCCTTTGGTCCAAGGACCATCCCTGGAGAGCCACTGCCCTTTAGGTAACGATTTTCCCCTCATTTTCCTTCTGAACTCGGTCAGCACCTTGTTCAGCCTCCCACTGAGCCTGGAACCCTTGACAGCTGGGGAAACAGGTGGGTTGCTGCTAAGCCGGGAAGGCACCTGGGAATCCCAACTTCCAATCCAGGGCGTTTTCTTCTGCATTCACTGCTGCTTTTACTCTCTTGGGACCCTATGTGTGGGATCCAGAACAGGGCAGAACCCTGAGTAGTAAAAACTGAACGGGAAGCAAGGTTAGTTAAATCCAACTGCAGGAGAGGAAAAAGGAGTCATTTTCTTCAGGAGAGGAGAGGGTACACAGAGGATGCCTGTCCATTGACCAAACCTGCCCTGAGCATCACCATTGACACTTTCATTCATTCAAAAAACAAAGTTAATTGAGCAGGTGCTGTATGCCAGGCACTGTCTTGGTGTGGGGGATAATGAAGGAAATAAAACCGAGATCCCTGTCTTTGGAGAACATACTTTTTAATAGAGAGATTAACAGTAAACATAATAAAAGAGTAAATTATTGAATATGTTAGAAGGTAATAAAAGTTATAAAAAGAAAAACAAGAGTAGGGTAAAGGAGTGCAATTGGAGTTGCAATTCTAAATAAGATGGTCAGGGTGGGCCTTATTGATGAGGTGAGTTAAGATAGTAAGCCATGCGATAGCTAGGGGAAGAGTGTTTCCAACAGGTGGAACAGCCAGCACGAAGGTCCTGAGTCAGGAGCATGCCTGGGGTGTTGGAGGCTCAGCAAAGGGGCCGTTGTAACCGGAGTAGGGGTAGGGATGGGGAAGAAGCTGAATACACGAGGCCAGAGAGGTAAAGGGGCAGGCAGGAAGATGTTAGAGGGCTGGCCCAGCCATTGTTAAAGACTTGACTTTTACCCTGAGATATTCCTGCAATTTTATTTACTGTTTTGCCCTAATGATTCTTGCCTCATTCATCTACAAAATCTGCCTCAAAAACAGCCGTTAACTATCCCCTGGCTCACAGCTGGAGATGGTTTTGAGAATGATACTATTTTCAGAAGTCAGTGGGCCCCAACCTCTCAGATTTGGGGCTTGCAAAGGTTGCAATGACCCTTTCTGACCTGCAGATTAGAAAGTTGGTAATTTACATTTGCTTTCAACAGTTTTTTTTCTCTTCTCTCATCATTCTCCGTGATCCTAAGTTCTTGTTCCCCTGACATATCTGCTCCCTGAGGCTTCCCAGATTGCTAGAGCAGCACTGTCCAATCAAAATATGATGTGAGGCACATATTTAATTTTAAATTTTCTAGAGGCCACATTAAAAAAAGTAAAAAGAAACAGGTAAATTTAATATTAATGGCATATTTGATTTAACCCAGTATACCCAAAATATAATCTCAACATGTAATCAACATAAAAAATTAACACACTATCATACATATTTTCTTCTATACTGTCTTGAAGCCTAGTGTGTATTTTACATTTATAGCACACCTCAATACAGACTAGCCACATTTCAAATGCGCCATAGCCTCATGTAGCTAAGGATTACCTGGCCAGCACAGTCCTAGACTACTCATGTTCCTTCCCAACTCCCTCTCCTTAACATAATTTCCCTTTCCAGACTGAGCTGACACTTCATTCAAGAAGTCTTCCTTGATTTCTCTACTTCCTTCATATGCCTATGAGAATGAAATGAGTTAATATATGTAGATTGCCTCGGATAGGTACTGGCACATAGTAAACAATGGAAGTGTAGCTATCATTATAATACCACTTTCTACGGTTGTAATACACGGATCAGTTGTGTAACTATTACTTCACATTTTTCTCTCCCTGTTATACTCAATAGTCCACAAGAAGAGAGGACCCTGCCTGCCTGTCTTTTTCGTTGCTCTTTTCTTGGGACCTGGGTCTGGCACAAACAGAGGAATATTCAATATAAACGTATTGAATGAATGAATGAATATAAGGAAGTATGCTTGGGGTTAAGCTTAAGCATTCTAATTCTAATGTTGCAATGGATTAAAATCATAATCCTGGATGACAATGGTATCAGATTCCATGTTTATAGAGATTCAGACTAGATCCTAAAGAGAAATGAAATCTGGTCTCAAAAATGGAAAGAAAAAAAAAAGACAAAAACAGGATGGTGTGGCAGAAAGGGCACAGACTTTGAATTCAGACACACCTGGGCCTGAAGATCTGCCACCTCACATACTATTTGTATGGCTTTGGAGATGTTACTTAACTTCTCCAAGTCTCAGTTTTCCCATCTGTAAAATGGGATCTGAGCATCTCTTTGCATTAGGTACCTACATGTACAGTAAGTTTGTAAGTCGCAACAACACAGGCCCTAATCTTGGCTCAGCCACACTCAGTGAGGCTACTTAAGCTTTCTGTACCTCAGTATCTACTCTATGTGTGTGTGTGTGTGTGTGTGTGTGTGTGTTCTTTTAGTAGTTAATGAGATATGATACTATACATGTAAAGGCTTGATACATGATAGATGGCCATATTTTCTTTAATTTTCATTCAACAGCATGTGATCTTTCTTTTTTTCACGCCACCTTTCCCCCATCAAACAAGGAAGGAAAGTTCAAGCAGTTTACTATCTGGGAAAATTGAGCCATCCTGCCTAGTACATGGTGTGTATCAGACTTAAGAAAAGGACAAGAATTAAGCTATTAAAAAAATTTCTCCAACTAGCAATTAAAAGACAATGGGAAAACTGCTTCTATGTTTAAAAGAAAATAATTTGAACTGTTAATTTTATTGCCACAGATCTACTATTTTATTTATTTATTTATTTTTAATTTTTTATTATTATTATACTTTAAGTTCTAGGGTACATAGGCACAACATACAGGTTTGTTACATATGTATACATGTGCCATGTTGGTGTGCTGTACCCATTAACTCATCATTTACATGAGGTATATCTCCTAATGCTATTCCTCCCCACTGTCCTCTCCCCACAATAGGCCCCGGTGTGTGATGTTCCCCTTCCCGTGTCCAAGTGATTTCATTGTTTAATTCCCACCTACGAATGAGAACATGCGGTGTTTGGTTTTCTGTTCTTGCGATAGTTTACTGGGAATGATGGTTTCCAGCTGCATCCATGTCCCTACAAAGGACACAAACTCATCCCTTTTTATGGCTGCATAGTATTCCATGGTGTATATGTGTCACATTTTCTTAATCCAGTCTGTCACTGATGGACATTCAGGTTGATTCCAAGTCTTTGCTATTGTGAATAGTGCTGTAATAAACATACGTGTGCTTGTGTCTTTATAGCAGCATGATTTATAATCCTTTGGGTATATCCCCAGTAATTGGATGGCTGGGTCAAATGGTATTTCTAGTTCTAGATCCTTCAGGAATCGCCACACTGTTTTCCACAATGGTTGAACTAGTTTACAGTCCCACCAACAGTGTAAAAGTGTCCCTATTTCTCCACATCCTCTCCAGCACCTGTTGTTTTCTGATTTTTTAATGATTGCCATTCTAACTGGTGTGAGATGGTATCTCATTGTGGTTTTGATTTGCATTTCTCTGATGGCAAGTAATGATGAGCATTTTTTCATGTGTCTGTTGGCTGTATGAATGTCTTCTTTTGAGAAGCGTCTGCTCATATCCTTTGCCCACTTTTTGATGGGGTTGTTTGTTTTTTTCTTGTAAATTTGTTTGAGTTCTTTGTAGGTTCTGGATATTAGCCCTTTGTCAGATGAGTAGATTGCAAAAATTTTCTCCCATTCTATAGGTTGCCTGTTCACTCTGATGGTAGTTTCTTTTGCTGGGCAAGAGCTCTTTAGTTTAATTAGATCCCATTTGTCAATTTTGGCTTTTGTTGCTGTTGCTTTTGGCGTTTTAGACATGAAGTCCTTGCCCATGCCTATGTCCTGAATGGTATTACCTAGGTTTTCTTTTAGGATTTTTATGGTTTTAGGTCTAACATTTAAGTCTCTAATTCATCTTGAATTAATTTTCATATAAGGAGTAAGGAAAGGATCCAGTTTCAGCTTTCTACTTATGGCTAGCCAATTTTCCCAGCACCATTTATAAAATAGGGAATCCTTTCCCCATTTCTTGTTTTTGTCAGGTTTGTCAAAGATCAGATGGCTGTAGATGTATGGCATTATTTTTGAGGGCTTTGTTCTGTTCCATTGGTCTATATCTCTGTTTTGGTACCAGTACCATGCTGTTTTGGTTACTGTAGTATAGTTTGAAGTCAGGTAGCCTGATGCCTCCAGCTTTGTTCTTTTGGCTTAGGATTGTCTTGGCAATACAGGCTCTTTTTTGGTTCCATATGTACTTTAAAGCAGTTTTTTCCAATTCTGTGAAGAAAGTCATTGGTAGCTTAATGGGGATGGCATTGAATCTATAAATTACATTGGGCAGTATGGCCATTTTCACAATATTGATTCTTCCTCTCCATGAGCATGGTATGTTCTTCCATTTGTTTGTGTCCTCTTTTATT